TATTAAGAAGCTTTCCCCCGGACTGTGAATCACTCTCATATCAGATTGTTTTGTACAATTTGCGTGCCGCGTGATTCCACCCTAAGAAGTTCTGCTACCCCTGCCCGGTCGCGACGAGTTGCTCCCTGAGCACTTGTAGCTACTGTGATTTGAGTTTTGAGTTTTGAGACATCAGAAAGTCGGATTCGCCGCATCTGGTTTAGTCGCGGCATTTAGTGTCGTCGCCTTCGGGCTTTGTTGAGATCGTTCCACACCTCTAGCTTGGCAGTGCGTCGACTAGTTGTGCTCGGGTTGTTTTGGTCAGTTGGCAGTGCGTCGACTTGAGAACTTTGGTTCCACACTTCTTGCTTGGCAGTGCGTCGACAAGTTGTGCTCGGGTTTTGGACATTGGATATTGGCTGTTAGTTGGCAGTGCGTCAACGCGGCATCTTGGTTTACTAGTTGGCAGTGCGTCGACTCAGTACTATTGGTTGTGTCAGTTGGCAGTGCGTCGACTTGACATTTTGGTTTACTAGTTGGCAGTGCGTCGACTCAGTATATTGGTTGCATCGGTTGGCAGTGCGTCAACTTGATATTTGGGCTTTGCGTCACCATCTGGACGCTGTCGCTACAAGGGATCTTAATACTTCGTATTAAGCTCTGACTTGTTATATTGTTGTTGTGGATTGGATTAGTGTTGATTGTGTTCGTATAGAAGATATTGGTTGAGATACCATTGTTTTGCTATATATATATATATCCTTGTCGTCGACTTCGTCTCCGCGACTATTGGATCTGCGTCTATTGAGAGTTGTGATACTGGTGCTCTGTCCACCCCGAAGCCCTCGCATCTTTCACACACTGAGAAGCTGATTACGAGGAGTGTGAACGTGTTTATATTTGGGTTTACTTTCATAGTAGATTCACTTGTGAGCGCGCCCTCAGCATTTCAACGTGTCAGCTGGATGAGGTCATCAGTATTGATCCGGCGGTGTTCTGCCGGTGATCCGAGGAATATCAGTCAGTGGTGTCATGCTTCTTAGGTCATCTACTTGTATATAGATAGTTGCTAGGGATCTCTGATCCCCAGTTTTGTTATCGACTTGGCCTCTGTGCTCCACTTCCCTTACACACACGCCCACGTCATGAAGAACCACCCCCAGTTGTCAGATAGGGCCAATAAGAAGAGTAGGAAGTGGAAGAGGTTTTTGGTTGCGAAGATGCGCTACCGCAGTGTCTGGTTCTGCATACGGTGGAAAGGCTATGATCTGTCTCACGACCGGTGGGTGACGCACTCCAATGTGTTTGCTGACAATGCCATGGCAGCGTTCTACCGCAAATATCCAGGGAAGCCATGGGTTATTGCAGCTGCTGTATTTGACTTGCTGCCCTTTTGGGACTCGTTGGTCACCAACCACGCCTTGTGTCGGGTTGCCGCAATCCAAGGAGGGGTGATGTCAGGGGAACCCCTTCTTTCGTCCAATCATCATGGGATCTGGCATGTGATTGCGCACTCACTGCATTCAGGGCCTAGGTAGTCAGAAATGACAAACTACCAACCTCCGTTGTTGTTGGCAGATGGCGCCTGACGTTCCCAGGTAGTCGATGACATAACTCAGGATGCCTACTTGAGACTCCCATGTCAGAGGCCATTCTTGACATACGCACCCGATCGAGCCCAATTGGCACCCACGGTAGTCAAACGGCGTCCCACGGTAGTACAAACACGTCCCACAGGCTGTTGAGCTGCGGCGCCGGCGAGGTGAAGGAGCGCAGCGCACCATGTGGAAGGGACCTGGAAGCCCATGATCAGTTGCCTCGAGCCAGATGAAGTCGTCCTCCCACGCACGTAGGCGCTGGACTGTGCGTGATCGCGAAAGAGAGCGGAAAGTGCAAGGAGGGATATAAGTCGTGCCTGCAGGCATTGTGCTCATCGCGCGCGCAGGGTTGGGGGCGGTCCCAAAGCTTAATTGCCTGAACATGCTCGCCATATCACCCGCATATCACACACTCATCAACATGTTCCGTCCCAAAGGTCAGAAATAAGTTATGTTAATGCTAAGGAGGCAGGATCGGAGCGCGGATAGGACGAGATCCTCCGCCATTGAATGAGAGCAGGAGACTAAGGTAGTCCATGATGCGAACTCGACAGGTAGCCTGCATATCGTTCCCAGGCGCCCAAATTCCAGACCGAAATAGGTAGTCCACGTGCACCGAGCTGTCTCGTCCGGTCTCGCCCATCAGCGGCTGTACTCCTCCACTAATTGTTCCCACGCGCCCATGCATTGACTACCTAGGCCCTGAACGCAGTGACTTGCCATCTGTCAACTGTCGCGGGCTCCAGTCTGGACTTCCATGCCAAGCACATCCACGTGACCCACAGCCTGGGTCCCCATTGTTCCAACGGTCCAGCTCTCATTGTTCTCCCCGATCTGGTGATAAGCTGGCTACAAGGCGCGCTTTGCACCAGCTCTGTAGAGGCGTATTTTTGCGCTTTTACAGAGTAAAACCTTATACCTATCCGGTGTATCGTGTTGCGTAGACCAGCAGCGCGTTCAGTAGGACTTATGGGTCCAGTGCCTAGTCGGTGGCTGTGGATAGCACCGGTGATTGCAAGGTACTCGGATCACTACTGTGGATCGGTCTTAGAAGCCCTTACAAGGTTTCGGACTAGTAGCGTTAAGGACACCAGATTGTCTATTGTGACAACTCCTGGCATCTCAGGACTACGAGTGCGACATTGGCTCCAGACATACACAGAAGGGATGAACTTGTAGCTACAAGATTTACAAAAATCTTGAAACGACAAGTTCTCTTTGGGCAATTAGTAGCTTTGAGAGCTGCCACACAACAACTACTTGTCGCGGACACACATGGACACCCAGGAATATCGGCATCTACCGTGACAGCTTCTGAGCACACGAGTGATCGACCTACCACCTGGTCCACGGTTCTGCATCTCCTCAACGGATGAGCTCCGTGTGCCTGTCCGTCTCCGTCGGTCGCCTGGTACTAGACGACCACAAGGTTCGTTGGAGCGTCCACATTGGACCCACTTGCCAAGACTACCTGTCGAGCCAATCCAACACGCCATATTCCAAACTATGACGCGTTGGTGGTTCTACAATAAAACATACCACATGAACTACACATGGGCTATTCGATCGTCCACGCAGTTCACCAAAAGAAGAATATACTATCGGAGATAGCGTAGCTACTAGCTAGTTGTGCAGTAGAATTACTAAGCTCCTGTACGCAGTATAAAAGTAGCACGGTTTCTCTGTATTGGAGAGCTTTCCCCCGGATTTCAATTTGTTCATCTCATTTCAGTTTCTCTTTCGAGAACCTGGTTGAGTTTGCGTGACTTGAGTCTTAAGAAGGTTCACTACTATTCCTGCCCAGTAGCAACAAGTGTCTCAACACGAGCACTTGTATCTACTGTGATTTGTTTGAGTTTTGAGATCATAGCAGAGTCGGATTTGCCACTCTTGTTATTTGGGTAGAGACTTGTCGCGCTGCGATAAGTCTTTTGCTTGTGATTGTTCCACACTTCTAGGCGGCAGTGCGTCGTTCCTAGTTGTGCTCGGGTAGCATTGTTCCACACCTCCAGACGGCAGTGCGTCGTTTCTGGTTGTGCTCGGGTTTTGGTTCCACACCTCTAGGCGGCAGTGCGTTGTTCCTAGTTGTGCTCGGGTTTTTGGGTCGTATCATAGTTGGAAGTGCGTTGACTTGATATATTTGGGTTCTACACGACAGGTTGGCAGTGCGTCAACTTAGTTGTTAGGTTTAGTGTCACCTTTTGGACGCTGTCGCTACAAGGGATCAAAGTACTCTGTACTAAGATCTGACTTGTGTTGGTTGTTGGTTGTTGTTTGTTTGTTTGTTGTTGGTTTTTGGTTGTATAGGAGACATTGGTGGAGACACCTTGTTCTTGCTATATAGATTCTTGCGTGCCGACTCCGTCACCGCGTTGCATAGTATTCGCGTTGAGTCATTAGACTGGATCTGGTGTTCTGTCCACCCGAAGCCCTCACACCCATCACACACACTGAGAAGCTGGTTTATAGGAGTGTGACGTGTTTATAGTTGGATCAGCTCTTCACACAGTTGATTCATCCTTGAGCACACCCTCAGCATTTCACCGGCCCCTCATTGTTTCCTGGCCCATTGTCCTGTGATTCCCATTGTGCTTGGTCACCCATTGTTCTTTAGGCTATATATAGTGGGCCCTGACAAGGAGAGTCCCCAACTTGGTTTCTCTTTGCACTCTCCCTTATCAGGTTTGCCAGTCCTGTGTATTAGTTGATCCCTTATCTGATGCTTTGGACTCTCCCTTGTCAGGACTCTGAGATCAGGCCTCGAGGTTGCCCTTATAACTTTCTAGATTTTTAGTGCTGACACCCAAGCAACTTCAAGGTATCCTCTACCCAATTTTCAATGAAACAGCTTTACCTTTGTTTTTTGTAGGCAAAAATTGATTTTATAAGCTTGGGTTCCTTACTACACATTTTGTTAGGAACAAAAGTTGTATAGTGGAAGGTAGAGAGCCAAAGCATTGTCAGATATCCTATTCAACATAACCAGTGGCTTACATCTCATCAAACTGGCCCATATCTTGTGACAATCAAACAAGAATAAGATTGAAAGACAAGTCAATTCCAAGACTGGAGAATACAACACAATAGCTCCTGTATTTATACTAAGTCCAGCCTGAGTTTTATCTACATCAAACAAGTCATCTGACTATGTACCGTGTGGAGCCTTGGTCATGGGTTGTAGTATAGACTTCTAGAGCACATGCCGCACAACCTCTGTACAGATAACTCTCTTGAACCCTAAGCTCGGACCGTGTGGTGCCACGATCCGTGATAAGATAGTCCCATGTTGATGATAAGATAAGATGATTGATGGAATGATTGTGAAAAATGATCGAATCATGGCATTACCCCCTCTCTAGGGTCAATGTCCTCATTGACAGGGCTGATTGGTGTGAAGATGTTCTCATAAGGATTGAAAAGTTGTCATCTGGGGTATGGAAGTTGCTCGTCCTTGGGTATGTAGCGATGGTTAAGGTAATCCCAGTGGCAAGCTCGGAGTATTGGCACCGTGCCAATGTCGGTGTCTGGATTGGATTGTTTCTTTTCCCATGCTGCCAGGACCTTCTTTGCGTGGGTGAGGTGAGGTGATGGTTTCCAGGTATTCTTGCTGTGAGGCCATCCCTTCCATTTGACCAAGTACTGTTTTCCTCGGCCGACGTTCCGCTCCTTCACAATCTCTTCGACTTCCCATTCTTCTGCTCCTCCAATCATCTTTGCTGTGGGTCCACCTTGGTCACCTCCAAGTCCTACCAGTTAGGTAGGTTTTTTTGGTGCCCAAAACCTACCTAAATGGTAGCAGGCGGATGGGTGGTGGGTGGCCAAATTTGGGCTCTGGGCAGCCCGGGCAGATTTGGGCGCCCAATCTCAGACCCCCAGCCGCCCGTGGGCGGCCCAAAAAAATTGGGACCCTCCAGAATGCATAGCCGCCGATGGTGATCAGGATTCTGTATTGTTCAGATGGATATAATCCGGGTATTTTCAGGCACTACTAGTGCATTAATAGCCATTACCAGGCCATTACTACACAATACTAGGCATTACTAGGCATTAATGGAGGGTACTAAGGTACTAGCAGGCATTTATAGTCATTACTAAGCATTACTGGAGGGTAAAAGCATATTATTGAGTATGTTTGGCAATTACTAGCCATTACTAGCTGTTACTAGAGAGTACCACGAATACAAAATGCGCAATTTTGGCAGCTAAAATTGATCTGCAACATTTTCCTAGTGATCTCATCACAAAAACAGTGTTGGATGCTTGCCATTGAACCAGCCATCTAGTTACCTATGTGTGTAGGTGAAAATTGTCCAGTTTTAAAAGGGCTGCAAGTTCTGACTTCTGATCACTAAAAATAGAATGATCATTTTGGGACATTCTGGGACACAGCCACAGATATTAATCAGTTTTCAGTGGGATATAAACCTATGGATCTGGCTACAGTGACCTGCTCAGTTTTTCAACAATTTACGCTTCCCAAGCAATGTGCTGCAGTCCTGGTTAACACAGTAGAGCCAGCTGTTGCATATACATATGCATGATAATAATCTTCCACCCGTTCTACTTCAACAGATAACCATTTTTTCGTATACTCCCTATTCATATCAGTTATGCCCATAAGATCATAAGAAAGAGTTTTTTGAGATTAGTATGATCATAGGAATGAAAGAATGAGCGGAGGCAGTAGTAACAGGTGGGAAATCAAAGCCCACTTTGTACTGCAGGTATTGTCACTGCAGAAGCTTGATTCAAGGTTTCACTCCATTGCAGCAAATAATTTGGAAATTTTCCGCACTTGATGGATCTGAAAATCAAGCTCTGTCTATTTTATTCAGGTGCACCTGATTTTACATTGGTAGTGAACTAGGGACTCTTTGGGTGAGTTCCATGCTCTCTGCAACATTGCAAGGGGCTTGTGAAGTGATAATCTCCCAGAATAAGTAATGGCCGCTACCGTTTAGGTAGGTTTTGGGCATCAAAAAAACCTACCTAACTGGTAGGACTTGGGGGGTGACCAAGGTGGTGGGTCCCTTCTCCCGGCGATGGGCAGGTGGTTTGTGATAGGGTGTCAACAGTGACTTGTTCAACACTGGGTGTCTCCAGTCTGTATCCGGTGATAAGCTGGCTACGAGGCGCACTCTGCACCAGCTCTGTAGAGGCGTATTTTTGTGCTTTTACAGAGTAAAACCTTATACCTATTCGGTGTATTGTGTCGCGTAGACCAGTAGCGCGTTCAGTAGGACTTATGGGTCCAGTGCCTAGTCGGTGGCTGTGGATAGCACCAGTGATTGCAAGGCACTCGGATCACTACTGTGGATCGGTCTTAGAAGCCCATACAAGGTTTCAGACTAGTAGCGTTAAGGACACCAGATTGTCTATTGTGACAACTCCTGGCATCTCAGGACTACGAGTGCGGCATTGTCACCAAATATTCACACCGGATAAACTTGTAGCTACAAGATTTACCAAAATCTGGAAACGACAAGTTGTCTTTGGGCAATTAGTAGCTTTGACAGCTGCCACGCGACAACTACTTGTCGCGGACCCACATGGACACCTAGGAATATTGGCATCAAGCGTGATAGCTTCTGAGCACACATACGATTGGCCAACCACGTGGTCCACGGTTCTGTATCCCTTCAACGGATGAGTTCTGTGTGCCTGTCCGTCTCCGTCAGTCGCCTGGTACTAGACGACCACAAGGCTTGTTGGAGCGTCCACATTGGACCCACTTGCCAAGACTACCCGTCGAGCCAATCCAACATGCTATATTCCAAACTATGACGCGTTGGTGGTTCTACAATAAAACATACCACATGAACTACACATGGGCTATTCGATCGTCCACGCAGTTCACCAAAAGAAGAATATACTATCGGAGATAGCGTAGCTACTAGCTAGTTGTGCAGTAGAATTACTAAGCTCCTGTACGCAGTATAAAAGTAGCACGGTTTCTCTGTATTGGAGAGCTTTCCCCCGGATTTCAATTTGTTCATCTCATTTCAGTTTCTCTTTCGAGAACCTGGTTGAGTTTGCGTGACTTGAGTCTTAAGAAGGTTCACTACTATTCCTGCCCGGTAGCAACAAGTGTCTCAACGCAAGCATTTGTATCTACTGTGATTTGTTTTGAGTTTGAGTTAGAGATCGTAGCAGAGTCGGATTCGCCGCTCTTGTTATTTGGGTAGAGACTTGTCGCGCCGCAATAAGTCTTTCGCTTGTGATCTTTCCACACTTCTAGGCGGCAGTGCGTCGTTCCTAGTTGTGCTCAGGTTTTTGGTCGTATCATAGTTGGCAGTGCGTCGACTTGGTATATTTGGGTTCTACACAACAAGTTGCCAGTGCGTCAACTTAGTTGCTAGGTTTTGTGTCACCTTTTAGATGCTGTCGCTACAAGGGATCAAAGTACTCCGTACTAAGATCTGACTTGTGTTGGTTGTTGGTTGTTGGGTTTTTGGTTGTATAGGAGACATTGGTGGAGACACCTTGTTCTTGCTGACACGCCTACGGAGCGTATGAGCGCGCAGCCGTACAGGGAGGGACAATGGAGTAGTCGGAAGTCGAGAGGAGTGAGCTGCGGCTCTGGCTCACGCAGTATTTGTGTGTGGGATTCTGATCCCAAACAAGGTCAGGCTCGAGGAAAGGAACTCAACTGAAATGAGCAAGGGGCAGTGGTGAGCAAAAGGGAGGGACTGAGGACAAGTCTAGGATGATAGGACGACAATGGGGACGAGCGATGGGACGATGAGATGATAGAACGACGAGGGAACCAATATGTAGGACTGTAGCACAAAAATAGGAGTTTTGGGACAAGGTTGGGGGAATAACAAGGTATTGGGCATCAAAAAGCGAGATAGAAAGCACTGGAACGTTGCTTTAGACTCCAGAGAGTGGGTGAGGAAGATTTCTTGTTTTTTGTACTGTACTACAGGTATTTTATACTAAGTGTGAATCAGATCAGAAGGAGATAAGTAAATTGAACCTCCTGTTGATATGGTGACCATTGAGCTCTATGTTAATTTATTACTTTAGTCCGTGCTGAATTTCACCAAAATGAAAGGAGCTAGAGCCACAAAGAGGGAATGAACTCCGAAATTTGATTCCGGTCCGAAGCTCGTCATCACGTGCCAGATCAATTGAGGCTGCTTTGTCAGCTCAAGCAGCTTGCTACGTCATATTGATGCGGTCTCCGATCAATTGATTGCGGGGCCAGGGTGCATCACTGCTCGTCATTGCTATATAGATTCTTGCGCACTGACTCCATCACCGCGTTGCATGGTATTCGCGTTGAGTCATTAGACTGGATCTGGTGTTCTGTCCACCCGAAGCCCTTGCACCCATCACACACCACCCATAGTGCTAGGATTTAGTCAAGTCTATGGCTGTAGCCATAAAAATTGCATTCAAATCTATGGCTGTAGCCATAGCATGGATACAGTCATAGCTTTGACTAATACTGCTATGGCTACAGCCATAGCGTGGCAGGCCTTTGGTCCTGTTGCTTTTCTCGGCATCACCAAGGCATGTGCAAGATCATCATTGCCATCAGCACCACCATGATCCCTCAACATAAAGTGTTGATCGGCCTTACTGTCTTGAACAAGCCGCGCCCCTCTGGGCGCGGAGGTTAGTGGTTCAGTAGGGTTTGGGTTTGGGTTAAAGGTTAGTCCCCAGAGACGTCATTTTTTCTCAGTTATGGCTGGGGCAAGGTAGCAAAAAAAAAGCCTATTACAGGCTCTGTAAGGGTTGGTTAGGGTAAGAAATATATTTATTGTCAGTTAGGGTTGGGGCAAGGGAGCAAAAAAAAAAAATCCTGTTAGAGGCTCTATTAGGGTTGGTTGGGGCAAGAAATATGTTTATTGGGTGATAAGGGGTTGGGATAACCAGTACTAGGATAAAGCTTTCCCTCCACTTAGGGTAAGCCGCTTGCGGGTTACCCTAAGTTGAGGGAAATTGCAACCGGTTTAGCGATGCTTTAGCTGAGTATGATAATGCATTGGTTTAACCTACATTTTTAGAAGGTCAGCCGTTCAATCCTCACTGAAACCACCGCCTAGCTGTTCGGTGTCAATCACAGATTGTTGATCATAATGATCGTTGTTCACATCAGCACCGCCATGCGCTATGGCTACAGCCAAAGATTTGAATGCAATTTCTATGGCTACAGCCAAACGGATTTGACTAAATCCTAGGGCTATGGCTCCACACACACTGAGAAGCTGGTTTATAGGAGTGTGACGTGTTTATAGTTGGATCAGCTCTTCACACAGTTGATTCATCCTTGAGCACACCCTCAGCATTTCACCGGCAAATTCAGCTTCTAGGCGGCTGCTCCAATCTTCTCCACGATCTTGTAAGGTCCTAGTCATTTGTCGCTTATCTTCTTCAATGGTCTGTCCGTCTCAATATTCCCTCCTTCCACGTACACCTTCATCCCAACCTTCAACTCCAGAATTTCTCTTCTTTGTTTGTTGTAGTATTTTTTCTTTTTTTCTTTTGCTCTTTCTAGTGTTGTTTTTGCTTTGTCTTGTATTTCTTTTATTCTTTTTACAAACTCCTCTGCCAACTCATTCCTCAATTCCATCCTCTGCTCTACTCCCTTCCATGGGTGATATCTGTGATATGACAATCAACACAGAAAATTGTCGAGAAGACAAGTCACTTTCAAGAGTGGAGAATACAACACAATAGCTACTGTATTTATACTAAGTCCAGTCTGAGTCTTATCTACATCAAAACCAGTCATCTGACTATGTACCGTGTAGAGCGCTGGTCATGAGTTGTAGTCTAGCCTTCTGAAGCACACGCCACGTGACCTTACCCTCTTGAACCCTAAGCCCGGACCGCATGGTGCCGTGATCCGTGATAAAATAACCCTGTGTTGATGATAAGATTAGATGATCGATGGAATGATTGTGAAAAATGATTGAATCATGACATGTGATTTGCGTCAAATGGCGATACTTTGGTGGATGTGTTCATTTTGTTGTTATATGCAAACTCCGCCATTCCCAGCCATTCTGACCAATCTGTCTGATGGTAGTTGACATAAATGCGGACACTGCGGCAGGAGTGATGGCGAGGGTTGTGGCGGGGGTGCTAATAGGGGTGGGCAGAGGTTCATGCACCCCCGCAATTAACACCACCCAAGCCACCACCAGGATTGGATTCACAATTTTGGGTTTTCTAGCTCAAATGTATGCTTAAAATTGACCCAAGCTATTGAAATCCCAGTGGGATGATTTGGTGAAAAGTCACGTGATCATCTGCCTACCAACTGGCTACAACAAACAATGTATTAGGAGCACAACAGAAACCATGCTAAACAGTGCACAAAAAAGTCTCTAAAAAGTCACCTGATAATGCGCCCACTGTCCGCCCTGGTGTGCAGGAGGGGGCGGTAGTGACCCCGCCAACACCCCCGCCAACCCCGCCAACATTCTTGAAATCTCATGTGTTTCATCGCGTGATTTTTTCATCCTGCCATCCCCTGCCCATTTGATGCCTCACATGATTCTATTTTTTTCTCCCACCCATCTGCCTGATCTACAGGATAAATCACATGATATGTATTATCCCCCCCTCCTGACCCCTGCACATGACCCTGCCCCCTGCACCCCCGCCAGGGGGGGTACCTACTGGGTACCCATAGAGCTACATCTATGGGTACCCAGTAGGTACCCGCGGGGTCTGTTATGTAATGATGGCGGTGGCATCTGGGGTGTCTAGTTCGTAGGGATGACCACACAGCGGTCGTAGTTGCCTGTAATCGCAGACCGGTCAGCAGCCGAGCCCACGTCTCACTCTAACGCGAGCCACGCACCATTCTGGTTGGCGCCCCACCACTGAGGGAAGAGATGGCTGTTGCCCGACGCGCCCTGGACCGCGAACGACAGGATGAACACCATCACCTGCGTCCCGCCGTCCAGCCCCGCGGCGAGCACGTAGTTGTACTTGGTGAACCAGCGCGGGTAGCGCGTGCGCATGTACCACTGCGATATCCAGGCGATCACGAAAAAGCTCGTGATCGACGAGTTGATGCCGACGCACAGCCACCCAATGTAGTAGCTTCCAGAACCCCGTCAGGATCCACGGGAAGAGGATCAATCGAAGGTGCTGTGACTCACCAGATGATGGGCGTGTAGAGATAGTCCGTGCGCAGCTTTGGCCAGTACCGGTGGGCGAGCCAGAAGGGGACCGGGACAACCAGCCCGACGAGATAGGCCCATGCGACCCACTGATACCGCTGGTTGACCGCAAACAATTCGTGGCTCAGTCCGCCCCAGGCGATGGCCTGGGAGTTGTACTGCTGCGGCTGCTGGCCGCTCCAGATGTTCGTCCCCTGCACAGAAAGCAGGATCGGGCGCTGGTTATCGATAATCGAGTTCATCAGAACTGTTTGGTGTCAGTCGTGTCCTAACACGTCTCTTAATTCATTCTTTTTGACTGACCAAAGTTCAGAATGGCACCGAATAAGGTTCCGATGATCTGGGCCGTGAACGCTGCACGCGGGGGAAGCTTGACGTCTGTCAATCAAGGATATAACCAGGCATCACTATCCGGAAACAAAGATCAGTGCATACACTGTGCGATCTTGAGGTCTCGCAGCAGAAGCTGGGCCTGCGTGACCGAGTCTGATGGAACTGAGCGGTCGTCCAGGGAGGTAAAGCCACTGCCCCCACTTACTGTAACTGAACAACACAAAGTACATGTTGGCCATTGGTTTGCCGGGGTGCAAGAATCCGCCCAGCATCTGGATCCTTCAAGTCAGTATCGCAATGTCTATCACTCCCAAACGTAGCACGCACCTGGTTAAACGGCTGGATGATGAACACAAGCCCGGTCATGCCGTAAAGCGCGCCGAAGAAGAGCGTGCAGAACGCGGACAGGATCAGCGCAACAACGAAGCCCCACCACGGCAGAGTCGAGTTCGTTTTGTAGATCAGGACCATGCCCATGACGAACGAGACCAGGAGGGCGACGATGTACCTGTCGGCCGTGTCAGTCGACACTGACCATCCCACACACCACGCATACGGGTGAGACACCCACCAGCTGTTCGGCGCGTCGGGATACTTGAGCATCTCCCGATAGTGCGGGTCCAAGTCCGCTGCATCGTCTTTGGGGGCGGTGCGCAGCCCGTCGTCCTGCCAGAACCGCCCGTTGAAGTTGCGCACCGAGCTTCGGAGAGCGGACGGCGTGGCCCAGCTCCAGGCCGCCCTCAGGTCATCTCGGTTCCACAGCAGGAGATGGGTCACGGTCGCTGCGATGCTCTGGACAGCGTCGCCGCCACGTGTCAGCAAGCAAACCCACGCGCTTCAGTGCGGTATCAGAGGCTTACCAAGTTGGTAGCCAGCAGCTGCACGACCCAAGTCGAGGCGTAGTACGGCAGGCCCTGCTCCGCCAGCAAGGTCTTGTCCACCTCGAAGTTCTCGTTCAAGATCAGCGTCTGGTCGTACAAAGTCCCATTGGCGTAGAACAGTTCCTGCGATAGCTGGAAACACGGTCAACCAGCCAGCGGCGAGCGGGGGAAGTGAACCAGCGACGCACAAAGGGCAGCGCTTTCGCATTCCACACGTTTCCGTAGTACACGCCGACGAAGACGACGATGGACAATATGTACCCGAGCAGATTGCTGAACTGCGCCTTGAGCGGGATCGCGAGCGGGCTGCCGCCGGAGATGTACTGCCAGTCGAGGGAGATCGAGAGCAGCCCGAGTCCCTCGTTGCCGTTCGAGCCGCCGAAGATTCGTGTGAAGTTCGGGGATCGCTGATCCGCCAGACAGAAGATCGAGAATCCCGTCAACATCGGGAAGATCTGTATCAGACGTGTGATCGTTGATGAAAACTTCGCGGCCGGACAGGTTTGGATCACGCACCCATTCCGGGAAGATTTCCCAAAGGAAGATACTATGTTACACACACGCGGCATCAGTCCGGATCACTGTGAGATCGGGATGGATAATACACACCAGCCAAATGCGATCCAGAACAGCTTGACTCTCTTCTGCACAGCTTCCGCGTCCGTGTAGAGGACATCGAACATCGACACGAGAGGGAGAACCCCGGGATACAACATCTGGAGATTCATCCCTCATCGGTACCTTGGATATGCGGGGTGACTGACCTTGGACGGGTACAGCAGAATCGGACGCAGCAATCCGCCAATGCCATACCCGGCGAGCTGACTGCTAAACAGCAGGAAGATGCTGGCCGCTGGGTTGGGCGTGATGTTGTAGTAGAGCCGCTGGACAGCCAGGACTTCGGTGCCGAGCGCCGAGGTCGCGGCGGCGCTGGACATGATGACGATGAAGGCATTCTCCTTCTTGTTGAACGGGTGCTGTGTGGCGCATGCGATGAGAACCACGTGCACGCGGAACCGGAAGGAGGGCATCGCTTGCTTACCGGGTTGAGCCAGTAGAGCAATCCGGTCTTGCCACGTGGGAGGGACCCCCATGCCGTGCCCAGCATGTACGAGATGATAGCCAAGAACAGGGTCGAGACAAGGACAGTTTGCTGGAAGCCATTCGCGTGAGTGAGAAAGAAGCGAGTATTCGAGACATCATAAGTTCTCTCACGGGTTTGAAGTAGTAGATCTCAGCTGCCGCCGGGGCGTCAGCCACAGCCGCTGGACATGAACAGAACCCACGACGCACCCAAGACACCACCGAACGCCGACAGACCGAGCCCGAGCACGAACGCGCGGATGGTCCACGGGTTGAGCGTCTCATCGTCTTCGACAGTGATGACGTGTGTCGCAATGTCGCGCTCGTCGTGGAGCACAGCGAACTCGTCGTCCCCGGGATCCCCGGCCGTCTCGATGTCATCCTCCGAGGGGCTCCTCTTCTCGTCCACGGGCGTCGCAGGCGCCGTCTTCTCGTTCATGGAATCCTGTTCGTCGTGTTCCGTAGACGCCATGGGGCCGGGAACGAGCGGGGTCGCGTAAGAAGGACTGGTCATGCGGGAGCAGTGACAGCTTGCTTGCTTTTATCTGGGCCATGATGCCGTAGGCCCGTAGCCCCATTCACCTGGAGCGCGATCTAATTCTGCCTCGATCTGGGACGTCATCCGTGGCCCACTGGTAGTGGCTCTCGACGGCAGACGCGACAAGACATCTCAACCCGGTGACTGAGTCCGTGCCATGATGGAGGGTGGTGGGACACGTCGTGAGGCAGCACGCGTAGAATGGACGCGTCGCCCAGCACGAGATGCAACCTTCGGGCCCTCCAGACACATGGACCCGGCCTCCGATACGCGTTCGCCTACTATCGGTCAATGTTCAGAAAATATGACCGCGCGGGTATAAGGGCAGTCGGGTGATATATTCCCGCGCTGAAAATAACGCTTGCTTATTCACAGGACGTGTGAGTTACGAAGATGGTGAAGGAAACATAGGCGTTGGGAGAGGCAAGTTGATGAGATAGCTGAAGAGCGGTATGCTGTTTGTTGGTGCATCAAAGTCGCCGAGTTCGGGGTACCTACATGTTCTAAACTTGAAATCGAGTCTTGGATATTTGAACACCAACCAGCTATCCACGCGGTCCAGATCGTATCCCTCAAACACCTACATCGACCTTATTGGCTGTAAATCAATAAACGCGCCGACGTGGAATACACGGGACGCTCGTAGCGAGCGAGGTCCTCGCGATCCACAGCGATCCCAGATTTGTCAAAGGGATTTGTCGCAGCATCTCACACATAAGCAGCCGATGCATGTCAATGCAAAAAAAACCGGTGCTGCCCGAATGTACGTACCTCGTATCCCGTTGGCTCTCACCGGACGTCGAGATGCACATACGGCACACGAGTCGCTTTGAATGCTCATTGGTAACTCCTACATAAGCGCGTCTACGTGGTCATCAGCTGGTCTGGCTTTGGGAGCAGTGGAGACGCACGAGAGCAGTCGCCGTGTCCCATTGGGAACCGGGGCCCTAGATCAGCGCGGGAACTATTATCTCCTGCTCCCACCCGCGGTATTTTTTCCGGCGCACAGTCAAACTGCTCATATAATCATACCAGTCTCTCCCACAGGCGCAATCCGATGACCCGTTCGCCCCAGAAAGGTCCGGTGCACCCGGGTCTTTCCGTCGATGGCCGTCAGTTGCCGCTGAGGATGAGCTAGCTGGCTGGTTGGGACCTAGAAGCTGTTCTGTAAGCAGGTTTGAGTTATGCTGATGGCTAGTCTTTTTTCAGTCACTCTGGGGATACGCACACAAAGCGATTCAATCGGCCACCATTCCATTCGAACGCTCGCATGCTCTACAGCGACGACAGATAGACATCGCCATGGATGCAGGATACGCGAATCATCCGAGAATCCAGTTCGCGTTGAACTGAAACCGGCGTTCATAAGTACTTCCAACGATTGGCCCGGAACTGAAAAACACGTGCTGTCACACCCCATCAAGCTCGTCACGAGTATCACCGTGACTTGACCAGTAACAACATTTTGCATACCCGATCTCTGCCGACGGCCCGACGTGTCGGGAAATTGGAATCGACTTGACCTTTGTGTCCGGCCGTCTTGTGCCATAAGAGAAGACAGCCCGTCCCTGCGAGCTATACTAGGCGCAAGTGCCGCGATTCGAAGTTCGACGTGAAGTCAGACGGAAGACGAGATGCATCCGCTGTGACATCCTAATGCACCAGGAAAATCGAGACGAGGGGGCAGTCCATCGCTCATCGATACCGCACACTACCTCACTTTGATCTACCTTATCCTGGCTTTGATGGACTGGGTGCCGTGCGACCGTCGTTTTATGCAGCGCACGATCCGAATCCGGCGGAAGGAAGCAGTCTCCCACGCGGGCGCTGTGAGGGATTGGGAGGACTATTCAAAACGCGTCGGTCGACTCATCTCACTTCAGCTTCGGGGTCCGATGCTGTGGCCTTAGATTGGCCTGCGTAAGTGGGATGGGATGCATTGCGTTCAGTCCTGGCTGATCTGATGTTCCTCTTCCCAGATCGTGACAGTGTCAGGTGGATTTTCAACGCACGCGAGGTCCAGAAACGTCGTGGCCTCTTTTTTGGGAACTGTGGATCGCCGATTGTAGGGAAGTGGGCAGGCTCGCTCTCGTCTTTAGGAGTGCATCCGAGTCTGATCAGCGAGCTGGATAGATTTCATGTGAGGCTGGGTGGCCTGATCCAAGGTGTTCCATACAGATTAGTTGAGGGACAGTATATGTGCCAGAAGCAACAAGAGGAGGAATAGTATCGACGGCTGCAGTTCAAGGAACAGCTTCACTTGCGACGTGCGGAAGACATGCGTCAGAACGAGCTTCGAATGCGGCAGTTGCAGCGGCAGTTGCAGCGACGACAACGGGTCCCGGTGCTAGTGAAAGCGGCGTCACAAGCACAGGTTTGGGAGTGACGAGCCTTACTGCTGGAGCGGCCGGTTATAACACGACTCGCAACAGGTCTGCAGCAGTTGCGACGGGCACAGGTTTCAGCGCAGTCGTCTTCGGAGGGATCCTCGGCATCGCCACTTTCAAAAGTAGACGACCCGCGCCTGCTTGGGACGAGGTACGCACTTGCGGTAGCAGCGGCAATCCGCTCCGGTACGCTGGACGGTACCAAAGACGCTTTCCAGCCCATGGTAGGTATGCCGCCGATCGACCACAAGCAATCGACCCACGAACGCACTGCTGTCCGTATCCATCTAAACTTCCCGCCAGATCTGTTCCACGGACGTGGCACGAGCGACTGAGTTCGTGCACTGGTACGTACTACACGACGATGGACGCTAACCGGCGCGTCCGGGGACTCGGTACGCAGCACGGATTGCCGATGCAAGTGGACTGGGGGCAACTGCTTTCACCGCCGAGCTCAACAAACTCTCCCTTCGATGCTCGCGAGCTCGCGGACTCGGGCACATGTGTATACATCCAGAGCAGAGCAGATATCGAGAGGGGTGCGCCGCGTCTCTCGATGTGGACGAGGAGGAGGATGTCAGTATGGAGAATCGGTGCGGTACGCGCACACCCCCAGCGACAGCTTTCCCGGCGTGGTCGGAAGGGCTGCCGTCGGGGTGAAGTACTCGGAGCCATGAGCTCCAGCGAGTGCGCAAGATTACACAAGGACAGTTAATACATATACATTGTGATGCGAGAACATGCCATACTAGAAACGATTTTCACATTATCAATACATTCGGTCCGGCTTACTGCGCGCCGAGCATCTTTTCAATCCACCCAGCGACCTTGACAGCGTTGTCTCCGATCCAAGCACCGGCATGCTCCCCCTCGACTCGCTCGACGGACATCCCTGAAAATGCCGCCTCCCAGCGCTCGTCGACCTCGCCAGCTGTGGCAGCGACATAGAGCGCAGAGGTGGCGTAGGGTCCAGACGGCAACCACTCAGCCATCGCTTTGACGTTCTTCTCGTACGTCCCGGCCAGCGCACGGATATCGCTGCCATGCCGAGCGGCGAACGTGGCGAGATCGAGGGTTGCCTCCTCGGCAGACAAGGCGGGCCTCGACTCCGCAGAGAACACGTTGCGAACGAACGCATCCGCAGTCAGCAAGACGTCTGCGGAGGTGGATCCTGGGAACGGACTGTCGATGAGGGCCACCGCGCGCACTTGGATTCCGGCTTCTTGCATCGGGCCCAGCATCGCCGTCGCGACCAGACCACCGAACGAGGCGCCCACGAGCACGACATCGCGACAAGTGGGCGGCATGTCCTTCACGTATCTCGTGGCGAGCTCGTTGATCCCACAATCCGAGTCGATGCCGTGGAGCGCAGGGTGATCGAGCGCCATGATCGTTGAATCTGCCGGCAAATGACGCGCCAGCGCAGCATACGACAGGCAGCTGCCGCCTCCTGGTGCGATGAGAACGTACGTCGTTCCCGTCGGAGCTTGTTGCAGGAACGAGATGTAGGAGGGAAGCGATGCACTGATCGACGCCACAATGGACTCGACCGTGCACGATGGGTCGATGAACGCCGAGAGACTGCAGGGATTCGGTCAATGCCCGAGAGACGAGTTCTAAATGAAGGAAGGCACGCACGGGATGTGGCACCCTGCTTGCTGCAGCTGATGCAGGAGCGCCATCTGGCCGCGACTGTCCAGCCCGGCATCCCTCAACACTGTCGTGTAGCTGATCTCGTCCGTGCCGAGGATAGATCGAACGTGACGGAGCACGAGATGACCAGCCGACGTGGCATCTGGCACACTCGCTTTCGGACTGGGCACCTCGACCGACACGTCGACTGGACCCTTGATGGACGTCGCCTCGACCGACGCCTTTCTTTTGTACTGGGCGGGGGGGAATGCCAGCACGCAATGAGCGTTGACGCCGCCGAGACCCGTGCTCGATGCACTGAGCAGCGCGTCGGGAGACAACCGCACGGGATTCTTGGCAAACGAGATCTTCAGTGTCGGGTCGATGACCGGGTTCGGCTGCTCGAAGGACTGCAGCGGGGGAACCACGCCATGTTGGATGGACTTGACGAGCTTGATCACAGACACCAATCCAGATGCAGCCTGAGAAGGGGTTTGAATCTGTCAATACGAGACGGAGATCAGGTCCCGCACCTCGCAGTTGCCCAGATTCCCCTTGTTCGATCCCACAATGTACGGCGTCTTCTCGACCCCGAGTTCTCGTCGGGCCATCTTCAAGCCCTCGAGCTCCAGTGCGTCGCCGATCGGTGTTCCACTGCCGTGCAGTCTGTGCAAAACATTAGCGGAGTTGACATGCGCAACCTGGATATCCAACACCCACTCCGCATAGACCAGCTTCCCTGCGCTGACACCCGCATCCATCCACGCGCCCTTCACGCTCTGCGCCTGTCCTCTCGGGCTGGGAACAGTCGGTCCTGCTTTCCCAGGCTTCCCGTCTGAGCCGACGGCCATCCCCTTGACCACAGCGTAGATATCGTCCCCGTCGCGGACAGCGTCGCTCATCCGCTTGAGCACCAGCGCACAGACTGCGTCTCCCGGAAGCGTGCCGTCGGATCGCGAGTCGAATGGTCGGCAATGCCCAGAAGGCGAGAACAGGCGTGTCGGCGCAGTGAGATATCCCGCTCTGCAAACGGTGAGTGCTTTTGCCGGCGGCGATAAGTGTTTTCGGTACGCACTGCGGGAATGCAACCGACACTCCACCCGCCAGTGCGACATCGCACGTCTTCGAGCGGAGATTGTCGACTGCCAACGACATGGCGACCATTCCGCTCGAACAGGCGGTGTGGAGCGTCACGTTCGGGCCCTGCAGGTTCAGATGGTAGGCCGTCAACGCCGACAGACAGGGCGTCAGCGCCTCTCGGTGCGCATGGTGGAACGCATCCTCGTCTGGCTTGCCTAAGAACAAGGTCAGTTCGCTGATCTGAAATGCGATGCAGCACGCAACTGGGAACCCAGGTCGAGGGAGCGGCTCCCACGAACAAGCCGATCTTGTTCGGTCCGGAAGCAGGCGGAACCGCACTCGCATCCTCCAGAGCCTCTTGGGCGACGGTCATGAGCAGCTTCTGTTGCGGATCCATCTCCCTGTGGCGCTCATCAGCCGCCGCGGACCACACATGTCACGAACACTCACTCGGCCTCCTCAGCTTTGATGCCCCACCGAGCACCATCAAACTCCCAGACGTCCTTCAATGCGCCTCGATGCGGAACATACACCCCGCCGGGAAACACCTCGACTGGCGAATCCGGGCACAGATGCGTCAATGCCTCGGTCTGGTCGAGCAAGAGCTGATAGAGCTCCTGGGGCGAGGACGAGCCAGGGAACCGACCGGCAATGCCGACGATGGCGATGTCTCTGCTTTCGTCTGGGCCGGCGGACTCCCTGCTAGCGACTCGCTCCTTCTTTCCAGTGGCGCTCGCCCTCTTCTTGCGCGCCTTCAAAGACGGTGCGGTGCTGTGCACGGGCGACGGCACTGCGATCAACTCGGCTTGGCTCTGGATCGTCGCGTTCTGGAACAGGTCGATCAGCTGCACCCCGCAACCGGGCCAGGACCGGACGATGGACTTGTGCAGCGTCGTCACCAAGAGACTGCGCGCAATGAGTCACAAGTTCTCGGCAAGATCCCGTAGCTCGCGCACCTGTTTCCGCCCGCATCGAAGAAGCTCGCGTCCTGGGCCACCCCATCCAGTTGCAAGACCGACTTCCAGATATTCGTCAGGCTTGAAATGGTGTCCACCTGGCTGGCTGGTGCGAGTGACTTGGTCGAGGAACGCCTCGACATCCGAGGGCCCTTCACTCTGGGAGCTGTGACCTTGGCAGGAGCACGACTTTGGACGAACGGGATAAAGTCGTCCAAGCACGGGTAGGTGAAAAGGTCGAGAACAGACACCGACAACGACCCCGACGGCAGTTGCCCCCTCACCTTCTCGATGAGCGTCTGCGCGAGCAAGCTGAGAGACGTCAGCGATGGAGTGGCAAGCACAGACTGATGACTGTTACCTGTTCCCACCGAGATCGAAGAAGCTGCTCTTCCCAGAAGGCGCTGACTTCAGCTCGAGTAGTTCGATCCAGACGTTGGTCAGTTCCTGATGCGACACCGACTCGTCGGCTTGGAGCATGGTCGAATCGGCCAAGGTCGAGCTGCGGCTGGAATCCTCGAGAGAGCTCAGGTCGTCTTCGTCAGAGCTCGTGCTGATGGGTGTCGTCGCTCCGGACGGGAACTTGGCGTCCCTGATCAGCTCCTCCATGCGCAGCTTGATCACCTTGTGGTCCGTCTTGTCGCTCGTGTTCAAGGGCAGCCGCGGCAAACAATACACATTCCGCGGCACCATGTAGCTCGGCACCCGGAGCCCAAGCAGCCGCTTCAGCTCGGTCCCATCGACAGTCTGGGGCGAAACAAAGACACACAGGTCGGTGCCCGACGGAGAGGACTGGACCGAGACGCTAATGATGGACGGCATCACAGCCACAACGGTGCGTTCCAGGTCGTCCAGGTCGATCCTCGACGTCGGCGTCAGTGCAAGCATCGGTCCTGGAGCCGATCGACTCACCTGTACCCTCGGACTTTCAGCTCGCGATCCATTCTGCCCATCAGGACCACGGTCCCATCGGCCAACAGTTTGCCGCGGTCCCCGGTCTTGTACATCCGCTTGCCATTCTGAGGATGGACTGCGAATCTTTGGCTGGTAAGATCGGCCCGGTTGCGGTAGCTAGACAGGACGGATTGAGACTAGACGTTCACAGACAACACCAATGTATGCGCACCCTCGGGCCAGTTGCGGGCCGGCAAGACAGACCTCTCCGACCTCGTTGACAGCCAGCAGTCGGTCGAACGAAGGGTTGCACACAAACACCTCCGTGGGCGAATGCGGATGGCCGATGTTCGCCGCGGAGGGCGCAGCATCGCCTGGGGAACTGGGCTGAGGTCGGTGAGCCATGACGACCGTGCTGCAAAGACGTCGTCAGGATGCCGGTCAGCGGCTGATAACACAAGGACATACGCTTCAGTCGGCCCATATGCATTCTGCAGGGTGACCCTCGTCCTCCAACGTTCGATCAGGTTGTCGGGGACCATCTCTCCGCCCACACTGATGCACTCCAGGCTCTGCAATCTTCTCGACGCCGGCAGAGTCCCAAGCACACTGGGAGTGAGGTGCATATGGGTCACGAGATTCTTGTCGATGACGTCCGCGAGGTAGTCGCCGATCAGGGCCTGGGGGGTGTTACCAAAGCACAGGTTGGATCCCAGGGAAAGTGCCAGGGACCATTCGAGGACGGCCGCGTCGAAAGCAAACGTGGCGAACTGCAGCACGCGGGAAAACGGGCCCATGGGGAAATATCCGGCTGCGTGGGCGGCCGTGATCCAGTTCGAGAGGCTGCTGTGCGTGATCTCGACGCCCTTGGGCTGGCCTGCGTGAGACATTGAGCAAATCAATGCCAGACGGAGCAAGTTGCAAACATACCGGTGCTGCCGGAAGTGAAGACAATGTATGCCAGGTCATCGTCTTGCGACACATCCTCCAGATTGTCTTTCGGGAACGCGTCCAAGGTGCACGTGTCCGTGCGCAAGATCTTGACGGTCCCTGAGAAGAGGCCCACTTCGATACCCATCCCGTCATCCACGATGAGGTCGGGCTCGGCGACCGCCATCGCACTTCGCGTCCGCTCAAGCGGGTGGCCTTGATCAGCTATAGCGTACGTCGCACCGGCCTTGAGCACGGCCAGGATCCAGCACAACGTAGAGAAGCCCCGCTTCAAGTGCAACAGCACGACATGGGTGCGGCCCATTCCCAATTGGCGCAGGGCTACAAAGACATGAGCCGTCCGGGACGCGCACGAGGGACAGAAAACGGACCGTTCGCCATCTGATTCGCGCGCTCATTCATCTCTCCATACGTCATGGACTCGTCTCGCTCCGCACAACTCATGGCAAGCGCGGCGGGATTGCGAGCGGCCTGGTGCTCGAACATGACATGGAAACGGCGCTTGCTGACCTGGCCCGCATCGGTCGTGTCGATAGGCGGCAGCAGACATGGGATGCGGTTCCCCAGAAGCGGTTGGAGATCGAAAGGCGTCTCTGCCATGGCTTGGGCCACGATCCGTTCAAAGTCGACCTTGAGCGCCGCAATCGATTTCTGGTCGAACAGCGTCGGGTCGTAGATGACCTGGAACAGCCTTATGAGTTTCACGGTTGAATGACCAGCAGATAGACTCACTCCGAGAGAGACGCTGTCAGCGGCCTCCAGAAAGCAGAAGAAGAGATCATATGGGCCCTCGACGGGGTACAGCTCACACTCCTCGCGCTCTAGCTTCGGAGACAGCGTCACCGCAACCTGCGCCCGCGGCGGCATGCAGCCCTCCTCGAGGCACGCCTGCGACAGATCCGTGAACGAGAACCGCTCATGTTTCTTCGCAGTCGACACGGTGGACGAGAGCAGGCGGAGCAGCGCGTCGAAGGTGATGGTGGACGATGATCGGATCAGCTGAGACACCGGGACCCGGATGGGGAGTGCGTTGGCGAAATGTCCCACGGTTCGATCAAGGCCCTTGGGACGGCCGCCGAACGCCACCGTCAGCGTCTGATCGCGGGACGAGCCTGCGATGGAGTGCGATTGGGTGAGGAGTGCGACCACGGCCAGCGCGACCCTGAACCACGACGTGCGATGCCGCGCGCTCCATTGCGCCAGTTGCTGCGTGACATCCGGTCAATCAACTGGAACACCGGGGAGGTAACACGCGCACGCACGTCTTTGCTGAACTCGGACCATCTCGCAATCTCACGGTAGTTCTGGGACTCGGGCACCTTGGGCACGCCTTTCCACTGGATCGACGAGGTATTCCGGCTTTGCGAGAGCCAGAACTCCTTGGCCAGCTGGAACGCACCGGATCCTCGGAACACAGACTGCACCGGATCAGAATTCATTAAGCAACGACGAATGATCAAAAAACACACCTCCATCATATGAGCCTTTTGGAAAACCTCGCCGATCGGCTTGCTCTCCTCCGCCTTCCCGTCGAGCAGACACAGGAGCTCACCACTGAGCTCGCTCATGCTCGTTCCGTCCAGGGCAATGTGATGCGCAATCACATATACCTCGATGGCGCCTTGGAGCTCGACGACGAGCCAGCGCACAGCAAACTCTTCCGACAGCGGCACAGCCTGGTGGAGCAGCTTTTGCAAATGCATTTTGGCGATGGCCGTCTTCGGCTCCACGACGATTCGGACCGACGGCAGCGCGGACTGGGCGTCCCACTCCGCGACGAATGGGCGGGACAGCACCGACTTGTTGCCGTGGAAGGTGGACCGCAGTATTCCGTGACGCGCGGTGAGGGTCTGGATGCCTGTGATGTCCAGTGAGTGCACAGTCCGAGGCTGAGATCGCCGATGTCCTCACCCGCTAGAACTTTCTCCATCGAGTAGGTGTCCGAGGATGCCAGTGTGAATTTCATTGTCAAATTGTACAGGGTGTGCTGTGGCTGAGCAGAGTAAGCCATCCACATCCCCTCTTGAGCTCTGGTCATGGGGTAGACGGAAGTCACACTGGCATCGAGTTCGGTACGTTGAAAGTGGCTGGGAGCAACGACGGGACCAGTGATGAGCTTCATTTCTTCTAGACTCCCTCGATGAGGAATCAAGTATGGGGCTCTTCGTGTCTAATGAGACGATTCTCTGAAGGATAGTTTTATGCGATAATCACTAGAACTCCGTCCGTAATGCACCGAAAATACACCAGATCTCACCGCACACGCTCTCTGAGCGGAGAAGCAAGCCGACCGGCCGCGTTTCCATGCACCATATCCAGGTGATCAACTATCGGAAGAAATTTGAAAGAACCGACCACTGACCAAAGCCATGCGCTGACTCAGGATGTCACTTTCATCACGCAGAACCGATCGAAGAATTCGGCAAATGTTTTGCACTGGAGCTGACAGAGACTAATTTCCCTGTGAAATTTCAGCTCGGAGCCGACGATGTTGGTGAATGCCGACCAACCTCTGTGAGCTAGCTCATTTCTGGCACTGTCCACATGTCAAGCACGCAATTCTGGCACCGATTCACGTGCGTTTCCGCACCGCCGATTCCAGTCGCGTATATTTCTGCGTTCCGCACGTCAGCGTCGTCACCGAGCATGCTTGCGACATGGCAAAGCACCGCATGGCAGCCTGAAAAGCCACCTTATCCCAACACACAGCGCGCACTCTCGCAGTATGATGTTTTACAGCTTTAGAGGCCTGTCAAAGACGTGTATGGAACATAGAAATCGCCATGTTAGGCTGTTGGCTTCCGTCGGTCGGCTATGTAAAGAAGCCCGAGGTCGATAGTGATCAGAGAATAAACGTCCGTGAAATGTATTTTGGGTGTCCGATGCGACGCGCATCCTGCACCTACTGACGGTTCTAGGACGTTCCAGACCGCCGAAAAGTGAAACACCGCGGAATGAACTACTATTCTCCAGTATTCTCTGGCCCAGTCACCCGGATTTGTCGCAGGACCTGAGGTCACTGCGCCAATCATCAATGATGGTCCTCGCAATTGTGAGGCACAAACATGACTCAATATCACGGGACCTTGTTTTGTGCTCATGATCAGGTATCGATATTTGGAAGCGAGTTGTTGTACCGGAATCTTCGGCTACATATATCACCCCGGTCAGATTTAGACAACTGGGGGGAAACCGGATCACGGATACGCGTAAAGGAGCAGGATAGACATCGATTGGAACTCCAAGATGGGGAGCCTCTCAAAGGGAATCTGCGCACCGTTCGGTCTCCCGAAGGCCGTGCCCCGGCGGTGAGCTGAAAATTCGCTGAATTGCGTCAGATAGAAGGCTGGCGGCCGATACGACTCAAGGGACCATATTCCAACAATCAGAATCAGAAATACCGTCGCCTAATTGCAAAGAAGGTTTGCGCTCGGAAGTGAGTAGCATGCCGGAAGAATCATCAGATGAAATCGCGAGTGTCAAAATCTCAACTGTCTAGAGGAGCGGAGTCATCCACCGAAAAACCTTATAACCACCATGACACAGTCTACGTGGGGCAAGTTGCTGCGGAAAATCCAATTCGGCTTCGGCCAAGAGCTTAATCTGGCAAAGATAACGCCGATCGTGACGACGAAGAGTCCCCTCACTTGTTGTCTATCTTAGCAAACAGACCGGCCTAACGACTCGGACCGGAGATATAGTACTGATTCGCAAGCGACAGGCGCCGCAAAGAAAACATCTCGAATCGACCAATGTGTAGAATCAACGAGCTTCCGGTCATCTGAGAGATCTAGATTCTGCAGGAATAAGATTTCCAGATCACAGAGCCACGCAAGGATTCATCAGACAGCAGAGGTTTTGCGTTTGCCTCGACGCCTGTATCATTCTCAAAATCCCAAACCACGCCCTCTTGAAGAGTGTTGCGAGAGTTCGTCTGGAGCAAATTGAGCACAAGCAGGAAAACTTTGATGCGTGATGGTGAGTCGGTTACATTTGAGATCGAATGCACCTGCCCATAAAGTAGCTCGCTGCGGCATATTTAGATGATCTGTTCGACCCGGGAGCAAATTGGAAATGGACACTATCTTTAGTAGTGAACAGTGTTCGTGAAGGTCGCGAGCTCAGGATTGGCTTCGACACCATATTTTGGGTGAATTTCAATGCTTGCGAGTTGATAATTACAATGTCAGCCGCATGTGTTATGTTTAGAAGGATGATAACTTACTCACTTTGGTACTTACCACACGCCGGTCTCGGCTTGAAATGACGACTAGTGGATTTCTAGATCACGGCACCCGGAAGGAGGTATAGTGCCAGCGGAGCTTGCAGCGCACCGACGCAAATGCCAGAAGCATTTGAGCCAGTTCATCTCCGGTATTGCGGTACCGAAGTGTGCTCATATCAAATGGCACGGAGTGTACACGCACGCAAAGCCGACAGTTCCCCATGCGACCGACACTGGAAGCAGTGCATACCTTGTCAAGTGACTGCGGCGCAGCAATGATGAGATCCGGAAGAGTACCATCGAGAGGGACACAGTCACAGTTGCGCACGATAGAGAACTTTTGGAGGGGTGATCACTTGATTTGAGGTCGATAGCCGATCAGAGCCGAGATCACGTCTTTTCCAGTCGGTCTTTCCGGTCATACTACCACGCCGGGGTGTCACATATCCCCGAAACGCCCTGCGTGCTCCGCCGCAGTTCTTCGTTTCTACATTAGCTCACATGTGGTGTGCAGCGTTGAGCTAGCGGCGGACGTATAACTTGACGAACTGATTACCCAGACCAGTCTCTGGATGACCAGGGCACAGAATGAGAATTTGAGGATCTGCTGTGATGGCGCAGGCGGGACCGGGTACCCTGTCTCTTTTGGACCGAGACACAATTGGGAAGAAGGAGGACTGCAGCCTGCACGGGCCAATGGAATACAAGCTCACGTGACTGGACAGTTTTTTTCGCTTGTCTTTTCTTTTCTTCCTTTTTTTCAATGATCCGCATGGCTGTACTATCGAAGATCTAGATCTGCAAAAATTTTGATGGAGGCCTTGCTACGACAAGTGCACAAAGACCCTCAGCTGGTATAGATCATGTGATTTGATCTGTCACGTGATTTTCCAGGAGGGCAAAGGTTCGAGTCAGAGTGGTAATTGCATTTATTTCGGGCAGTTTGTAAGTGAAGTAGATACTAAGCTTCAGCCTAAGGTCAGCATAGCATTAGTACTGTCTTTGTCAGTGCATGGCATTATATGTCTGCACTTGTTCTCCTTGATCTGTTTGCCCATCTTGTTGAGTGAACTCCCTGTCAGCTAGAGTGATTTGACCAGTGGTGCAGCCATGCCAGTCATTTGTGAGATGGTGTCATAACAGCATGAATATTTCATTTGATATACTTGAGTTTGGCTTTGGAAATATAAACCTGAGAGAAGATATTAGTGGTTTATGAAAAGTCAATTCCAACAAATATGGAATATGTGATCATTTAACCCAGCTAGGAGAATCCCAGGCAGATATAGCAAATGCAGATGCAAAAGCTTTTTTGTAGTCCACCCTTTCTCTCAGGGATGCCCAGTGTATTTGCATCAGCCCCATTTGACAACAGGATCTGTTAAAACTCTAGTCAGAGAAAGGGAGTATGATTGTCAGGGGACGCCGTGCTCCTTGGGCACGTGACCATGCACGTGACCCACTGCGCCCTCTCTGCCGACCCGTGCCTGCTTACCTGTTGATCACCCAGCCTCCTCCTCCTCCTCCGATCCTCATCTCCATCCATGCCGACATCCGCCCTCTTCCTCCTTCCCCTGGCCATCTCCCTCGAATCCCCGCAAGCGGTCTAGCCAAGCCCGATTCCTTGCACCAGGGAGTGCTACTGCCGTACGCACTCCTCCCCCTCTACTTCGGCCTTCTCCCCGCGGATGTGGTCTACTGCCGTACAGGCTCGTACCAGATGCCTTGCGCTCATCCGCACCACCCCTCTTCCCAGTCGGGCATTGGTCCTCGCCTCTGATGCCTCCACTGGCTGGCCCGGCACTGGCCTGGCCACTGGGCTCCTCCAGTGTGGCCTTCCACTGTTGGTGTCTCAGGAGCTGGCTGTCACTGGCCCCTCTGAGCCACTCACTATCTCATCTGGGTTTGTCATTATCTACTTGTCATCTGCCATTGTTCCATGGCAGTGATATCCCATCATCATCAGTCACTTGTCACAGCTGACTATATAGTGTGACACCTGGGCACATGGATCCTTGAACCGTTCTCTAAGGATCCCCCTCTATGCTCAGACTCATGTGAGGTTGTTGTGTGCTGTGTGCTCTCTTCCTTTGGGCTGGCAGGAGTTGCCCTTACACAATTTGAAGTAGTTGACCACAACTGTAAGGGCAACCTCGAGGCCCGATCTCAGAGTCCTGACAAGGGAGAGTCCAAAGCGTCAGATAAAGGGATCAACTAATACAGGAGACTGGCAAACCTGACAAGGGAGAGTCCAAAGAGAAACCGAGTTGGGGACTCTCCTTGTCAGGGCCCACTATATATAGCCTACATAACAATGGATGACCAAGCACAATGGAAGCGCCAGACAATGGGGCCAGGGAACAATGAGGGGCCAGATTGGGGAGAACAATGGGAGCCAGACCGTCGGAACAATGGGGGTCTGGGCCAGAGTGTCATGTGGATGCGCTTGGCAGGGAAGTCTGGACCGAAGCATGTGACACCTGACAGATGGCACGTGCACGGTCACATGCAAGATCCCATGATGATCAGACGAAAGCAGGGGTTCCCCTGACAACAACTTCTGACAAGGTCCACACTGAGTTTTATATGCTGTAGGGTTTCTGCTGACAGGACCAGATGTGCAAGTCATTATTCTCCATATCTTTCTGTCTCTGCCTGCACTGCTGCCTTGTTTCTGGCCAGACAATAAAAATGGAATTGCGCACGTAAGCGCCCAGTGCTCGCTCCGATTTCGAATCACATGATGTCAAATTCTGTATCTACGAGCCCAGTCGTCTAACCTGTACTGCATATTCTTTCCACCGAGATTATGAACTCGAGAATAGTCCAATTGCCCCAATATAGCAATGTCTGCCAATGCTTTCACCCTCGACAACCCAACGAAAGTCAATCCCATGGCAAACCCTTTCTTCCCCAACCCGAGCTTTATCTTCGGAATGGTCAGACCTTGGGATTTGTGGATCGTCACTGCCCATGCCAGTCTGAGAGGAACTTGAACACGGGACATCTGCTTGTCGCCCACATTGAAGGTGCTCTTAACGGTAGGGATCGGCACAATTGGAACACCCCCGGGAAAGTCTGGAAGCTGTGGCTCGGTTCGCCATAGCGTCGGGCCTGTGTAGTCCTTGCAAGAGACGAGAACCACCTCCGGTAAATCAGAGGTCGAGGCTCCTTGCGCCCAAATCACATCTTCCACCGTTCCAACCGTTGCATTGACCAGACCGTGCTGTTGCCATAGATTTCGGTTGATTATGACTTGACTTCGGCGGGAAAGAGTGAGATAGGGCTCCAGCCCTCCTGCATTGTCTGCAGTGACTTTTGCCGCAGCAGGCCCGCCATTGTGCCGCGCCTTCATGCGCGCACAGGGCTCGTTCAATGCCTGGAGCTGGTCCAGATTGAGGGTGTGGACATCTTCACGAGTTGTGAAAAGGCAGAGAGCCTCCGAGAAGGTTGCCCTCTCATCTGGACAAAGAACAGAGAAGCGGCAAGTGAGAAGAGTTTCCCATTCGAGAACACTCAGACTGCCTTGAGAAGCATGTCGGAGAAGAGCGCGGAAAGCTTCCTGCTCCGGGGAGTCCCCTTCTTGCCGGTGAACAACGCAAAGGGCGTGACTTTCCGAAAAGCTGCGGTATAAGATGCTTCCGTCGCGGCTGAGAGAGCCACCGTCCGTGAGATCTCTTGAAGGCGGGGCATAAAGAGGTCGATCTCCAACTGGTGGCAACTGAGCAAAATCCCCAACCAAGGCAATACTGATGCCTCCGAATATGCAGTCTGCTTGTTGATGGAAGATCTGGCAAAGACGCGAGTCAATTTGCGCCAAGATTCGAAGACCCAGCATTGATTTTTTGTCGATGATGAGAAAACAGGTGCCTCGCCATTGCTCTTGAAGAGTTGCCAGTCGTGATCCGCTCAAAGGCACAAAGTTGGAATTCACGGGCAGACCCAGAGAGGAGTGCACTGTACGGCCTCGAATGTTAATGCTGCGACTCCGGATGGTGCAACAACTCGCACCGGGTCCAGTTGGTTGTTCTGAGCTGCCGCGAGACGCAGCTGTTGACAGATTGCGTGAATGAGGTAAGTCTTCCTGCAACCGGCTGTCCTATCGATATTGAGAAGAATCTGTTGCGTTTGGTGTCCCATAAGAATGCGAGAGTAGGCGCCAAGGATCTTGTCAAATATTGCGCGTTGCTCCGGGCAAGAGTACCAACATCAATGTCACCGATCACACTCTCGGCCTGCGGACCCGATTCACGTCGTTGCACATCCAAATATGATGCCATTTGTTCAATGTCATTCCAGCGTGTACGGGACTCGTCTGGATTCCAGGCGGCATCCAGAGGACGTGTTCCTAGATCCGAAGCTTCAAATCGAGGAAGTGCAGCGAGTGGATGGTCACGTGCAAAGATTTGCCAATCATCTTTGGTCAGCATCTCGACATCGGCGTTTACCTCTTCATCCTTGTCCTCGTCGTCTTCTTGGTCCTGATTCTCTTCCTCCCAAGAACGTAACGAGTCCGTTGGATGGACATGTGCAGCAGCCCGGCACTGCGCCCCCAATTTGGGCCAGGAATACTTGGCTGGATTCTTGTTGTCACTTGGCTCAGCCTCTGCGCGCTTCTGGAGTTTGTCCAAGTGTTGGAAGGGATGATGAAGAAGGACCTTTGTGCAGCAGTACTGAGGATACACATCGCTTTCTGGATTGGGTGAATAGCGAGGGAATGCTCTGACTACGACATTCGGCTTTCGACGTTTTTGCCACTGGTTCCTTCGCCACGAGTAACCGGAAAAGACCTCGTATAGGGACAGGGCTCCCATAGAATCCGGACAAGACATGTATCTGTTGGTCTGTTTAGCATTCATTATGTCCCTTTGGACTGGATCACAATCTACCTTTGCAGCCAGGAATCATCTGTTACGCGTCGTTCCCCATCCAAGTCTTTGTCGTTGTCAAGATTCTCTGCCATTTCATTGGCAGACTGTATAATCTCTTGCATCCCACCGTCTTCGCCAAGATACAGTGTCTGGAACGTGGCTGACGTTCACACAAGAGGAATCCCGGGTAACAGATGTGCTGTCTCCTGGGCTGAGTACGTTCGTTCACCAAGCATCTTGTTCAGCAGCTTCTGACATGCAATCTGAGCGCTTCCTGCACCGTCCATTTGCTTTACAATGGTATCGAGCATTTCCGGGAAAGCAGGCGCTTGCTGCTCGGATTTGCTAGCATACTTCGCGATGTAACTTCAAACAAGTCAAGACATGAATCAAGTAAGATTGCGAACTTACTTGATTGTGGCCTCTTTACTGAGCACAGGTTTGATGTTGATGTTTGCTCTCCAGGCCAAGAGCATTGCCCGATTGTAGTTGTTCAGAAGTGGATCATTTTGCCTAGGTTCAAACCGAAGCCGGTTCTTGCTGTCCAGCCCAATAGTCGAGAAGTCTGGATGGCAGGGCATAGGGTAGTCAAAACAGCAGAAGGTTTGTGGCTCCTGTTGACCGGGTACTTTGCGCTTAACTTGGCAATAGCCAGCAACACATTTGCTGTGTTGCTGAACCCAATTCAACAAGTCCGCCAACTCCTGCTTCGTGTTCTCGATGTTGGATGTGGATCGACTGCAGGGATTCTGACCCAGATGTGGTGCGTTCGGATCGTCTCTTGGCACAGGATTGAAGGCTGAGACAATGCGATCCCAGTAATTCTTGAAAGCGGTCATCTTCTGCTCCTGGTCTCTGGAAATGGGTGTGTTTTGCTTCTTGAGCAGTTCCCAGTCTATGTCCTTGGGTCTTGGGGCATCATTGAGCCACAGAAATCCATGTACATGGCCGCTTCCTCGCTCCTGCCACTCATAGCAATACCAGAAATCCCCGATATCAAGTATCTTCCCCATGACATGTTTCATGAAGACTTGAACACGTTCATCAAGGTAAGATGCAGCCAGGTGTGGATTTCTCTCTAGTGCCAATTGACGCTGACGTCGTGCTGCAGCCTTGTCTTCAGGTGGCATATCCGTTTCTGAAGGCATGTGGCGGTGGAGATTGGGTCATTGTAAGTCGGCAGCGCTGAGCGTAAAGAACAGATGGGGGAGCCCTTGACCCGAATCATGTCTGTAAGCTCATTTTGTCGTGCATGCCAGTATGCCTGGGTTCCGCGCAGCTTAGCACCATAGCGGATCATGTTTTGAGCCACAGATTGATCACCCTCTTTGAGAAGTGCCCTCAGCTCATCAGCTGACATCCGTCCCGCATCGTGATTCTGTTTAACAAAGACCTTGGCTTGACTGCGAACACAATGTCTTTGAAGGGTGTTGAAAGCGAACCAAGGAAATCACCGATGCCGGGCAAATTGACCACCCTCAAATCAGAGAAGGTGCTTGAAGTATTCACCAAGCTTGATCTTGCGCTGATGCGGAGCAAAGAAGTCTCCTGCTCCATCAGGGAAAAGTGTTGGGAATGCACGAGTCATGTACCCTGGTGTATACTCCGAGATGGCATTCGAGTCAACAGACGGTGCTGCAATCTGCACAAACACATTAGTTTCTTTCATAATTAACCACGGATTGCCAAAACTCACGATTGTCTGTTCATAACGAGGCCTAGTGACAGCTCTAGTGGCGCCTTCACGCATCTCGACAACCTCCTCTCGCACAGGCAAGCCAAGGTTCAAGATTCCACCCACAGAAGCACCTCCACTGTCTGTGTCTTCCTCGGGCTGCTCTGTCTCTGCAGCTTGGGCCGGACCAGCCAGCACTGGTATGTCGCCCTCCTGCCGGCCTTCTCGGCAAACTGAGAGTTGATCTACAACGCTTCCATGGACAGGCAATTGAGAAAGCACCACCTTGTCTGGTGCAACCAGATCTGCATAATTGGGATCATTGGCTATCTTGTATTCCAGGGCAGCACAAACTTTGTCTCAACGGACTACGAAGTCAACATGATGCAAAAGATTAACACCCTCTCTGCAGATGATGACCAGGTCAACGTCTTCGGGTAATTGAGGTAAGGTCGCAGCAATATTCTCGACATTTTGAGGAAAGTTGATGATGTGGTCTTTATAAGACAGTTGTCGGCCTTTTGTCCACCGGACCTGCATGATTGTTTTTGTGTGCGCAATCAACATCTCTTCCATGTCGGTCAGATTTTGCAAGCAAGGTGGAACTCTACAGGCGGCACTATTGGTCTCTTGTTAAGTTTGTGCTCAAAACGTGTGAAAGTGCTGACTCACTTGGATTAGTTCTGTTTTCATCAGACCAACGGCAAGGAACGGTATTGTTGCGGGAACATCTCAAACAGACAGTGGAATCCGTGAGACAAACGTCGAAACCTTCCTCTCGACATGAAGGGCAGTGTTCGATTTTCATTCCATCCAGTGCTTTTCTGAACCGGTGGACAGCAGCCTCTTCATCGACATCAAGAGCCGGATCCTCAGGCAGATCAAGAGCCGGCAAGTCAGATCCATCTCCAAAGAACGTGTCAAACTCATCAAGAACATGAACACCATCCGCTGATAGGCTGGCTACCAGACGCGCTCTGCACCAGCTCTGTAAGGGCGTATTTTTGCGCTTTTTACAGAGTTTACTCTTGAACCACTCGGTGTATTGTGTCGCGGTTGACAGTGTTGCGCTCAGTAGGACTTATGGGTCTACTGCCCAGTCGACGACTGTGGATAGTGTCGACGATAGCAAGGCAGTCAGACCACTACTGTGGAACTGGTCTTATGAGTCTACACCAGGCTCAGGGCCATTAGTGACGAACGCTTGGACCGCGACCATTCCCCAAAAGGGGATCTGTCGTTGCGTCGACTTCTCAAAAAGGGTCATTCTCTGCAGATGGGAACTTGGGCTGAAGGGCTGAGCAATGTGCGACGTTCTCAATAATACAACTACTACTGGACAGGACTTGGCGTTACAAGACTTAAACCATCTTGTCGCGGCAACTCCCGGTTTTGAGTTGGACGTTTCCTCAGATCATGCCACGACGACGACTTGTCACATGTCAGGATCCATTCGATCACGGGACATTGTGGACGCGTCGCGGTGACACTCCCAAGTGTCACGGCGAATCGCATCCATACCCAAACACACTAGAAATTGACACGGCTAGATCCGTGAACCGAGCCATGTGGGAAACGACCGGCGTGCCTAGGGCCATACGGCTTCTTGGGGCGCCCACGTTGGTCTCACATGCCAAGACATACCCGTTGGCCAATCCAGCACGACGTATTCCAAAAGTATGACGCGGTGGGTTGACCCACATCAAAAGTATCATATGGACTATGGGGCGGGGTCCTGATCACTCAGGACCTGTCCAATCGTTCAACTTTTCAATTACCCTAAAAGGCAACCGATCTGAGATAGCGTAGCTACTATGCAGTTGTACAGGACTTTACTAAGCATCGTCGTAGACAGTATAAGTAGCACGTCGTTTCTTTGTATCAAAAAGGGCTTTCCCCCGGACTGTGAATCACTCTCATATCAGACTGTTTTGTACAATTTGCGTGCCGCGTGATTCCACCCTAAGAAGTTCTGCTACCCCTGCCCGGTCGCGACGAGTTGCTCCCTGAGCGCTTGTAGCTACTGTGATTTGAGTTTGAGTTGAGACATCAGAAAGTCGGATTCGCCGCATCTGGTTTAGTCGCGGCATTTAGTGTCGTCGCCTTTGGGCTTTGTTGAGATCGTTCCACACCTCTAGCTTGGCAGTGCGTCGACTAGTTGTGCTCGGGTTGTTTTGGTCAGTTGGCAGTGCGTCAACTTGAGAACTTTGGTTCCACACTTCTTGCTTGGCAGTGCGTCGACAAGTTGTGCTTGGGTTTTGGACATTGGATATTGGCTGTTAGTTGGCAGTGCGTCGACGCGGCATCTTGGTTTACTAGTTGGCAGTGCGTCGACTCAGTACTTTGGTTGTGTCAGTTGGCAGTGCGTCAACTTGACATTTTGGTTCTACTAGTTGGCAGTGCGTTGACTCAATATTTGGGCTTTGCGTCGCCATCAGGACGCTGTCGCTACAAGGGATCTTAATAATCTTAATACTTTGTATTAAGCTCTGACTTATCATATTGTTGGTTGTGATTGGATTAGTGTTGGTTGTGTTCGTATAGAAGATATTGGTTGAGATACCATTGTTTGCTATATATAAATTCTTGTCGTCGACTTTGTCTCCGCGACTATTGGATCTGTGTCTATTGAGAGTTGTGATACTGGTGCTCTGTCCACCCCGAAGCCCTCACATCTTTCACACACTGAGAAGCTGATTACGAGGAGTGTGAACGTGTTTATATTTGGGTTTACTTTCATAGTAGATTCACTTGTGAGCACGCCCTCCGCATTTCACCGCATTGTCACACATAGCCCCTTCCCCGTGTTCCATGTCAACTCGAGTTTCTTCTGCAGCCAACGCTTCTGCTTGACAAGCTGCATACATCTCTCGTGCATGCGCTCGACAGGCATGACAGCTGACATACATGTGGCCTTCCGTGGTACAATCTGCAGGTGCCACTTCGTGCCGGCCCATAGGACAGTAGCAAAGACCAGCGGTGGCTGCCACAGATTGCTTTGTTGACATCGCAATCTGTGCTTTGGAGCGGCACTGCAAACAAGTCCTGAATAGCAATACATTGTCTGCTTTCAGGAAATTCGACCGCTTCTTGATTTTGCTGCACTTGGCGCATTTTTCTTTATTTCGGCAGCTTCGACATCGGCCACTGGCATCGGGAAACCGGCTGGCGTAGTCAGAAACATGGCAGAGTGAACATTGTTTGCAAGGAGCAGGCGGGGGAACGTCAACATCTGGGTTTCGAGGGCGAAGAGTACGGAAAGCCCGTGCGTGCCCTTCTCGCTTGTCTTGTTCCATTGAACAGACACGACAGATATTCCTCGATGGGTGCCAGGTTCCGTATCTGTACTCTCGGACCTTTGCACAGGATGGGCAGACTTTGCAGCGCACATTAACGCGCGGAGGATTGAGAGTAACGCAAGGAGGGCTCATGGGTGGAGATGGGAGGAGGCAATGTACAGTTTTGCTGGGTCTCCGCAGACAATGAATTGTCGCAATGCCATTGCATCACGTGATCGAGTGGCTAAATGGTTGGTCAGAATCGACGATGTTTGTGCTCAAAAACCACATCTCACAGAGCCTTAAAATCAATGGGAAAAGTTTTTGGTATATCTGTGACGTACATATATGAGGCTGCTAAGGAATCGAAGAAGATTTGAGCTCATGAGAAGAGATGCGCGTTTGGGAAATGAGAACAGCCATAGGCCACTCATTTCTTTGCCGATTTGTCCAAAACTTGTGTGGAGCATGGATGCAGTATATATAAATAAGTATACGCAGTACAGGAGTGGTAACAGTAGAATTGAGTAAACTGCAGCTGAAATAGTGCCGTGAGAGCTCCCATCAAAAGTTGTTCAGAGTTTGCACTTGTTTAGTGCTTCAGGGGATCTCTTTAGTGGATGATTGCTCGCTTCGCTCGCAATGAGACTAGATCATGTAAAAGTGTTTCAGCAACCTTGCTGACTCATCTGCAATGCACATGATCGATCAATTTCAGGACCAGGGGAAATTAATGCTCGTTAACAAGAATACATACATACAATATGGTATCTAACCAGTGTGTATATAACTAACATTTGTAAACTTTACAGGGCACAAGCAACAAATTCCAATGTGATATGCTGTGAATTATGCCAAAGACCCGCAGCGATCAATCAATCAGACAGCGATCTCATTTTGGGCTGTGAATCAGCATGCTGTTCCCGGCCTCCATATCAATGTACTAATAACCTCTCTAAACCCTTAATCTGGACTGTGTGATCTGTGATCTGTGATAAGATAGTCTTATGTCAAGATAAGATAATCATCAATGAAATCATGTAAAAATGATCAAATTATGACAAAGACCTGCTTATTTCAGAGATTCCAACTCTGCTCTGTGCACCTGACCTGTGCCATCATGTGTTCAATTTGATCAAAAACATCTCAAGCAGCTGGTGACAATTTTTGAGCTGATTGCATATACTATCAAATACCTTGAAGGATCCCAAGTCACTGTGGGAGACATGGGCTGTTCTTTATTGCAATGATGGCTGTTCTTTATTGCAATGATGGCTGTTCTTTATTGCAATGATGGCTGTTCTTGATGAGTTATTTGATAAGAAACTTCTTGGTATTCTTGAGAGTGTTCAGGACAAGGCATATGGTGTTGGATTTTGGTAGTATTCCTGGATGCTGTCATAGTTTGGCCACTTTTTCATCTTATCATCGACGATCTTATCTTATCTTGGCACGACTTATCTTATCACGGATCACGGCATCAGACGGTCCGGACTAGGGGTTCCAGGGATTATCCTCATCAATTCGAGGCTGCGCGACATATGCTCCGGAAGGTTCTACTACGACCCATGACCAGCGTTCCATGCGGTACATAGCCCTATGACTCATTAGTTGTAGATATGACTCAGACTGGATTTGGGTATAAATACTGTAGCTACTTGGTTGTATTCTCCAGTCTTCGAATTCACTTCTCTTTTCGACTCTGTTTTTGGGTTGATTGTCCATAATTCGAAGACTCCCCTCATACCCTCCTACCTCATACCTCTTACCCTGCATCCTGCACCGCTACGCCCGCTATATCCTCTTAACCCTTGTCACCAACTTACCCTTCTACCGAATCATCTAGTCGTTCTCTGCGATCGCAGTGAAGGGTTCATATCGAGCAAACAGCACCAGGCCACGGGTAACGTTGAGCCCGACCCAAGCCTTACGGTAGCTACAAGGAGTGCTGCGGAGACCTTCGGGAAAACGCACTCGGATCATCGGGCACGTGAAGAGCTAGGCCCGGGATCTTTTTGCTAGCAAAAGAACCTTTCCTCGAGTGCTTGTACAGCACACGAATCCACCATTTCGTACCGATTCCCATTGTCGTCTGGGAGTCCATCTCCTCCCCCCATCGTACCATCGTCGCCCGATCTGGCGCATCAAAACCACCCGGCCCTCCAACCCCTACCTCGCCCTTCCGCCGCCTGAAGACGAGTTCCCCGACCTTGGCGAGTTACCCTCCGAACAACCACCCTCGCCCCCACCTACCACACCTGCTCCTACCATGTCAGGACATCACCGCATCACCCTCGCCGCCAATCCTCCCTACTTTGATGGCGACAAGTCCAAGTACCTGGGCTTTGTGGACGCGTGCACCACTTACATCGGTGCCTATCGGTCAGAGTTCTCGCTGGACGAGACAAAAATCCTCTTCGTCCTGTCCTACCTCCGAAATGAGAGCGGCACAAGCTGCGCCGCCTCAAGATGGGCGATGAACTGGAAGCAGCACAATTTCGAGGGCTTCCAAGGACTAAAGGCAGGAGTCACCGCAACAAGCTTCTTGGAGGAGCTTCAGAGGGCCTTTGGGATTCTAACGCAGAGCAAGTCGCTGCCGCCCGACTCATGGCCCTTCGCCAGGGCAGACGGTCCTTTGCGGACTACATCTCCGACTTCGAAATGCTGGCTGCAGACGCGGGGTACAACGTAGTCACCACCACCGACAGCAAGGGCGAGTACAGAAGGGGAACAGGACAATATCCTCATCGAGTTCCTGGAGCGCGGACTCAGCAGCGAAATTGCAAGCCGCCTCTACAACACCGGCGTTCCCCTGCCCAAGGCATATGGTGCCTTCAAGAACTGGGTGTCAACATCGAGGCGAACGCTCTACGTGATCAGCTGCGCAAAGCATCGCCATGCCATCCGCACCACGACCGCCTCCCCAATTCCGCCCTCAGGCAGCACCAGCGGCGCCCACGCCTGCCCCGACCCGACCGGCTGCCAACGAACCAGTCCCGATGGAAATCGATCGGACCCATGCCCGCGGACGCAATATCATCTGCTACAACTGTCAGCAGCCTGGGCACATCGCGCGGAATTGTCCAGAGCCCAAGAAGAAGCGCACGTTCTTCAATCGGGCCACAATGCTGGAAGAGATTGAGAACGGGGATAAGGACAACGAGTTCCTCAAGGAGATTGCCGTGAAGCTGCGCGAGAAGGGTTTTTGAAGCGCTCCACTCCTCTAGCCAAGGAGGTGGAGCGTCCGGACTATGGACGATTCTCTATACTTGTTTCGATTAAAGACATGAACGATTCTGCACATACATACACAATCTCGGACTCACTACGTACCAATATTCACGATTTTCTCATTGCTGATATAGAAAAGAACGCCAAAGAAAATAGCTTTAAATAGGGAATATTTACAGAGTAAAAGGATCAGAAAGCTGCAGATAAATAATTTTGGATTTATACGTATTTATGGCTCGTGGAGAAGGAACCACGTCAACAAAGACCGAAAAGGGGAGCATTGCTCCGAAGGCTCAATCCTTGGAAAAGGAGGAAGCGCCTAAGGAATCTGCCGAAATCAAGGTTCCAGAAGCACCCAAACGCACCAGGGTGCCAAATGCTATCCAGAGGAAATTGACGGCCGAGAAACAGAAGGGCCCCCAGCCCAGCAGGTTGGCGCAGGAACTGCGCAATTACCAGGCTGAGAGGAAGAGGCATTTGATGGACGTATATGTCCAGATCACGGGTCTGGACTCAGGGAAAATGCGCGGAGTCAAGGCGCTACTCGATAGCGGCTGCAGTACCTGCTGCATCAATACCGACTACGCACGGGCGGAGAAGTTGGATATTCAAGAGCTCCCTAACCCATTGTGGCTCGTAATGCCGACAACACCGAGAACATCAGCGGTCGGATCACGCATTACGTCGATCTGAGGATGAGAAATTGGTCCTCATGTGGAGACACGCACGTTCCTTCTGACGTGCTTGGGGAAAGCCCGGATCTTCATCGGTCTTGATTGGCTGATGTAACACAACCCCGAGGTGGATTGGCAGGAGCAGACCATGAGGTTCAGCCGATGCCCAGAGCGGTGTCACATGAGGGGTCACGAGGACATCAAGCAATGATTGACATGGACGCAATTGACCTGGACATGGGCACACCGGATCTGGAAGAGGGAGAATCGATCTTGTTGGTCGATTTTGGGAAGGAAGTAGACCTGCGGCTGAAGGAAACGCCGGCGCAGAATTCGCAGAAGAAGCAGAAAAGGAGAAAGAGAGAATGACCGAGGGAAGGATCCCGGATCAATATCGGGAATTTGTCAAGGTGTTCGCCAAGGAATCGTTCGACTCGCTGCCAGACCGACGGGCATGGGATCATGCAATCGAGCTCAAACCTGGTTCCAAAGCAGTGGACTGCAAGGTGTACCCGTTATCACGAAACGAGCAGGTCAAACTCGACGAATTCTTACAAGAGAACCTGGCCAGTGGACGGATCAGGCCATCAAAATCACCCATGGCATCAGCATTCTTCTTTGTCAAGAAGAAGGATGGCGCGCTACGCCCCGTGCAAGATTATCGGAAGCTGAATGAGATGACAATCCGGAATCAATACCCGCTGCCGCTGATCTCCGAACTGGTTCATAACCTATGCGGTGCAAAGTTCTTCACCAAGCTCGACATCCGGTGGGATATAACAACGTACGGATCAAAGAGGGTGACGAGTGGAAGGCTGCATTCCGCACGAACCGAGGACTGTACGAGCCCTTAGTTATGTTCTTTGGTCTCACGAATTCCCCGGCAACGTTCCAAACATGATGAACGACATACTCAGAGAGTTGATCAACGAGGGTCACGTGGTAGTCTATCTGGACGATATACTGATCTTCACAGAGAACTTGGACGAACATCGGCGAATCACGAAGCGAGTACTCGAATTGCTCCAAAAGCACAAGTTGTACCTGAAACCCGAAAGATGCGAGTTCGAACGCACGGAAATCGAATATTTGGGTGTATTATTGGACACAATTCGATGCGGATGGACCCTGTCAAGATCAAGGGCGTGATGGAATGGCCAGAACCAAAAAGCGTCAAACAAGTCCAAGCGTTTCTAGGGTTCACAAACTTCTATCGACGCTTTGTCCGGGGATACGCGGAGGTCGCCAAGCTGTTGACACGGCTGACAGGGAAGGCAGGATGGTCATGGGGTACGGATGAGCGCGCAGCATTCGATGGGTTGAAGAAGAGAATCACGGAGGATGCGGTCTTAGCACTGCCAAACGACACCGGCCAATATTGTCTGGAAGCCGATGCTTCGGAAGGGGCAACAGGCTCCGTTTTGAGCCAGAACCAAGACGGCATTTGGCGCCCAATTGCATTTATTTCGCACGCATTGACCGAAACCGAGCGAAATTACGAGATCTATGACAAAGAAATGCTTGCAATCATGTTATCGCTCGACGAATGGAGGCAGCTGCTCCTGGGAGCCACGGAAACGTTCGAGATCTTTACCGATCATCAGAATCTCGAGTACTTCGGAAGCCGCAGAAGCTCAATCGACGGCAAGCACGATGGATCACGGAGTTGGCGGAGTTTGATTTCACCTTACGACACCGACCCAGCGCACTCAACCGCAAGGCGGATCTCTTATCTCGACGAGCGGATCACGATCAGGGCAAGAACGACAACAAGGACGTCACGCTACTGAAGCCCGAATTCTTCCGATCACAAGAAGTCACATTCGAGGGACAGGATCAGCTGCTAGTTGATGAGATCAAGACCACTCGATCGATTGATGGAAGCGTCAAGGTGGCCTTGGAGAAGTCACTCGCTGGATGGAGAAAAGAAGATGGGCTCATCACATACCACGGGAAGCTCTACGTACCGAGGGACGAGGACTGCGAGACAAGATCATCGGGCTACACCACAACACACCCTTGGTCGGACACGCTGGGATCAACCGAACGCAGGAAATGGTGGAAAGGAACTACTGGTGGCCAAGGATGGGGAACCAGATCCGGAATACATCCAGACGTGCGAGGCGTGCCAGCGAACCAAGACCAGGAGAGCAAGGACAGGGACTCTGCATCCGCACGCAGTCCCCAATGCGCCGTGGGAAATCATCTCCATGGATCAAATTGGACCCCTACGGTCATTACGGGTATGACGCAATTCATGTGTGGTGTGACCCTTCACCAAAATGATCCATGTCAAACCAATT